CCAACTGTCCACAAACAGATGAATGGATAAACAAAATGTAGTATACCCACACAATGGAATATTATTGGCCATAGAAAGGAATGAAATTCTAATACGTGCTGCAACATGGACGAACCTTAAGGACATTATGCTCAGTGAAAAAAGCCAGACACAAAAAGGCAAATACCATATGATTCCACTTATATGAGGTAGCTAAAATAGGCAAATTCACAGGGACAGAAAGTAGAATAAAGGTAACCAGGCACCAAGGTCAGGAGGAAATGAAGAATTCCTCTTTAATTAAAACAGAGCTTCTATAGGGGATAAGTTCTAGAAACAGACAGTGGTAACAGTTGTACGACATTGCGAATGTATGTAATGCCACTGAATTGTACGCTTAAAAATGGTTAAAACAGTAAATTTTGTTATATATTTTAACACATGAAAAACGAGGCAGCTTCCTTTTCTGAGTAAAAGTGTGTGGAAACATACTTGCGTAAGGTGTTGTTGTTCTGGACTCTCTTCACCTCATCTTCCAGCTGCTGAATTCGTCTCAGGACATACATGTGTTGCTGTAACAAAACTCCCAGCCAGAGCTCATCCCAGAGCACAGTGACCCTGCGCAGCTCGGCCACGAGCATCTGAACCTGAATATAGAGCACATCCAAACAGCTCATCTCCAAGTCCGCACACAGCACAGTTCTTCAAACACTGGATATTACAAGTTAAATGGGGGTAATTTTTGTTCATTATACAATTAGAGAACCCTGATTAGTGAGATTCTACCAATACTGACTGATAAAATCAATTTTAACTATTCTAAACACACTGCTCAAATTATTTCCATGACAGTTTTTGGGAGGAGAGGAAGTTGTAATAAAAACTGTTTTAAAACATATGAGTTGGAGCTCCACTGGTGCAATTGGTTAGTGCACACAGTACTTATAAAACATATGAGTTGAAGCTAGGTGTGGTGGCTCATGTCTGTAATCCTGGCACTCTGGGAGGCTGAAGCGGGAGGATCGCTTGAGGCCAAGAGCAATCTGA